AAGAAACCTAACATACTCGTGAAGGACAACAGAAACTGACCTCTTGTCTATCCTTAGCTTTGCTTCCTTCAAGGTAGTCATACCAATGTGACAGACARAGGATAACTAGCTTCTTGTCAGGCCTTTCCACATACACATCTGACGAATCCAGAATTCTTGGAATTTCAAAGTCTTTCTCTCCAAAAGAGAAAGCGTGCTCCAGTCTCTCCCTGTCGTTCATGGACGACAGASAAGAAAAGTCAAATGCATTTGGCCTGTGTAAACACGACATAAAGTGAAATCATCACCAGATTGTTATTTTCAAACCATTTATGAAACATTAAATACTATATAATACTAATACTCACTAAATGACAGCAAATAAGGTTGTACTTCATCAAACATTAACTTTGTGAGTTATAACAAAGTGTCAAACGCTTAAAACTAGACATAAAAAGAGAATGCACATACACTTTGAAACCTTGCTCTGAATTTTAATACATTATTTCAATAATTTTGCGAGTTAACTGGTCTTGCCTCTTGGCAAGGTATTTTATAGTGCCATTTGCTTCAGCTATCAATCATACCTGTAGGAATGCAAAATTGCATTGAATGCTCGTCCATCGCGCCAGCTTCCAGAAAAGTCCGAAATTTTAACGTCATATCTAAAATATGTGAATAGATATAAACCCAATTAATAAAGTTTAGTAAATGACAGCTCCTACGAAAAAGGGGGATTTACCCATTCAGACGCTCCTTGCACCATTCTAATAAACTTTTTTCGACGGCAAAACTTTTAGATGCCTCCTGGTTTCCTTCTTGTTGCATTACTTCTTGTACCTGAAACGAAAGAGTTCAATTRGAYAAGACGAACTTCAGTCAGTCCTTAGGTCAACAAATCGAGTCTCACTTGAAATCGTAGGATGATACTCCAAAGTAGACCMAGTATCACGCGGATCTTTCCATCGACAATGTCGAACCCATTGATGCCGACTAGCTTGACCTATATGGAACAAGATAGATAASRTTTTGTTTTGTAATTTGTGRTATCTGTTTCAATGCAAAATTTTGAGTTATTGACGACCTTCATAATGGCCGACACTAATTAGCATATTATCACTAAATTTATAATGTTGACAAACTAAAAAACTCAGCTGATAGATATCAAAGCTACAAATTAATTCTGAAAGTTTCAAAGAAAAAGATGAAATCTTTTTGAAGTTATAAGTAGGGTATAAAGAAGTACAAAAACACCAAAATGAGGCTACCGCAAGGCCTCAGCAAAGAATTACTTACAAATCCATGTATTTTTATTCTTCCATAACGTTGTTAGTAAATTTTCCATAGATTCGAATACCTATTTCTAATAGTTCTTCCATATGACAGTGTTAAATGATTCCATAATATTGTCTATTGCATAAAATCGATGTTCGGSACTCATAATTGGTCTATAACCTAAGTTCCATCGTGATATCGTGATATTCATAATYGCACATTAAAAGACTAACTGAATAACGTACAGCGACAAGGGGGTGTGTAGAGAGTGTGTAGGGGGTGGAAATAGGTGTTTCGAAATGCCCCAAAAGTCTTTACACTTTATTTGCCAAATCAATATGGTGAAGCATTTTTTGATATCCCAKCAGTTTTTTTCGGTATGAKCACAAAACAATACTAGTGCAATTTTTGCAGTCAACAAGATTGCAACTTCCAAACTCCCTCATTACARCTATGTTGACAATGCMGCTTAGTGGAACCAATAAAAACTTCTGTCTGTCACGAACTTGCGTAAAACGGTTACTATAASYAAGTTATTGTCCATAAAGTACTTACGTTGCATTCTTCTAGAACGGTAAGAGCTCGCTCAACGTTGTTAATCTTGTGTACACGTAAATTCCCCTTTTCTTTTTTCTAATGAATAGATATYAATTAACTCAGAAACTGAATTTTACACCGAATAGGTTAACATCGCAGTCAACAATTGACTTGTGCATTGATAGAAATCAGTCCGGCACAAAGACGACGTTAAGGCCGATTTAGACAGTACAGATTTTGCCAACAACCATGGCATGCAACTTGCTCGCGTCATACCTTGGACATGAGTTGTGTAGTGCAAATCTACTCGACAACTCAAGTAACTGAAGTAAGTCAGTTGTGTGCGGCTAGAGAAAAGTGTGTGTGTGTGAGATCGTGGGGTGACTGTGGGGGAGGTGGTATTGCTAATTCAAAATGGCGGAGACGAAAAAATTCCAAAGAAAGAGTGTAAAAACCTGACGTACGAGGAACTAGAGCATTTAATTAGTCKATGGAGCAAAGAGGAGATGCCTTTCAATTGCTGGCACAAAGACTATTAAAAAACGATGGGAGTGCTGCAATTCACCGAATTCTTGTAAAAGTTTAAATAATGAATCGCGCGAGATTTAGSCGAGTGGTAGGCAAAATATCATAGGTGTGTAATTCTGGCTTACGTCGGGTCGTAGGGGTGACAAGAKCAAGTTKCATGCGATGGTTGTAAGCAAAAGTTGTATCGTCTAAATCGGCCTYTAAGAAAACTTACCAGTTTTTTATCAGTAAGGACTTCGAGGAGGTTTAACAGTGCCTTGCCATCTGACAGGTCGGTRCCAACGTTGGTAATATGTGAAGGTGGACTGTGCTGTTTCGATAAGAGAATGAATTACCTGTTGCTTCATTAGAGGCAGGACAACTCTTTTAAAACTAGTTGTAAACAAATGGTACGCGAATCGCACATAATAGCATGCACTATTTTGATTTTTTTTTTCATTTAAATTATTTCCAGTCTAAAGATTACCTGAGACAGCTTTGAATTGATCCATTTTGTAAAAGCTTTCTTGTGTGCGGCTTCCCTTTCACCTAAGAAAAACAAAAACAAAAACAAAAAAACGTGATCAGTTGCACATAATCATTTCTTTTTTTATTAATTCGCATTTCAAGTAATATCAAACAATTGCCTCAGAGAAAAATTCATTCGTTTGCCAAACTTTTGCTGACCATATATGGTAATCTTATCTAATAAGGAAGTACGTTAGAAAGTTGTTTCCCCCTTTTAGTGCTTTAAAATGGCTAAAACTTACAGAATTTGCAGAGAAATCGCTTTTCAACATCGTCGGCCATTATAATTTTGTCCTAGTCCCCTCCCATCCTTGAAAATCAGGAATCCCACAAAAGACACAGGTAGCCCGCGCGAATGTTAGGCAATTGATACCTCAGCTACAACGTTGGATATTGGAGATTTACACAAAGAAGTGTATCACAAAGACTGAAATATATTCTTAATCGAATCTGTTACCGTTGAAAAGGAGTTTTCGTGGTTTTAGAATGATTATATATCAGGTGCATGTACATTCTTTATATAGCTATTTTAGAAAAAGTTGAATACCGGAAGAGAGTGTATTCCAAGAACGGAATGTATTGTTAGACATTYTGTCGCGGTTCAAAATGAGATTTCGTGGTCTCAAAGTGACAGTCAGTACTAACCGTACAACTAAGAACTTTAATGGAAAGGAACGAAGTTTAGAATTGTTATTTTAGCTTTACAGAATGGACTTTTCCTATTCTATATCTTTAAAGATATAATTTGCTGAACCAATGACAATGGTGTTAGGCGTCAGTCAATACTGGAGGGAACTGGAGGCTAATGAAGATACCGATGTCCTGTCTATAGATTTGTGTTATTTTAAAGATATCTATAATTGTTATGACCCTTGTTAACTGTTTACTATCTAAATAAATATATAATGGAAAGAATGTGCTTGTTCATGGTTGAGYAAATATTTTTAGCCGAATTAAGGTATGATAATAATGATTCTTAATGTATTTTTTGCGTGACCTTCCTTTTAGAAAGTTGTTTGTTATTTGATTATACTGAAAACATATGTCTTTTTAATGATTATTTATAAGTCATTATCTAATTTTAACTGAATCGTATGCATTAGATGTATGGGGTAGCTTCCATATGGTTTCAAAAMATCACGTGTATTCCAGCTTCCTTTAAAAGATAGTAAATGATCAAGGTTAAATTGTTTTTYATATGTAAAACTGCAGCTTGTCTAYTACATGTTATTTAAATAGAATTTTGGCTCCAATTAATTATCGTCCATTCAAATAGGATACATATTGCAATTAATCTTTTTTTGAGGAGTTGCTTTCATATCTAAATATATAAGTACTGAAAAGWCATCTATTTTACACGTCATTTCAACCTTTTTTCATAATTTTCGACATATTATTATTACTAAAAAATGTTTCTGAGAGGGGTYTTCATCCAGGTGTGTAGATAKATGCACTTTATCAATAGTTCCTGATTAAGAAGCGGAACATTAATCTAAAACTGAAACGACAACAAGGAAAAAACTCCGTAGTTCATATACAGCGAAAGTGTAACGCTTCCGAAGGGAATGGTTACGTCACTTTGTCTTTTAGACTATAAGCTCAATCTGAATTCTGAAAATTGACAATTTGTACTGACTCAAGTGAACTTCATTTTCAGTCCATGTAAAGTAATTATCACATAAACAGTACAATATACTCCAGGTAGGTGTTTATAAGTTGACTGTCTCGATAGTTTGTAAACTTATGGTCAAATACAGTTTTTTCTAAACTGATTTAAAGCACGTTTTACTTATGCGGTGAACATAATGCGAAGATGAATATCGAAGATGAATCATAAGATAACAAAACAGAGGATCAACAGATTTCTACGGATTATGGYTGCAMCAAAACCAAAATATATTTTCCTACCTGCTTTCTCAAGAGTATACCGTCTGAATTTTAGCGATTCTTGGCGCTCTAGCTCGGCATGGTTGTTATCCATTGCTTCTCGAAATCAACAGAGAATCATTGACAATCGCTGWAGCTGAATTTTTACACGGTTTACTAAGCGAGGAATGCTGAATTGTTTAACAAAGATAAARAGTTCTGATTTGAATAATGTCACTCAAGAATGTCAATATGCCTCAAAGCGAAAGGTGGCTGAGGAGTTGTATTTCATTTAGAATAAAATAAGAATAGTGTGTATAGATCTAGAGCAAAGCAGTTTTAATTGAGAACTTTATGAAAGTTAACATMCAATATAAAGTTCGTGTATAAATTGATAGCTTCTTCACGGTATTATTTACTAACTGAGTAACGCAATTCGGTATTCAGMTTTTTGTTTATGTAACGCCACTTACCAAATGCATATATAAAATGCTTCACTAATGTAGCAAATATTCAAAGTTTTGGGAAAGGAGTAGTGGCGTGGACGCATACCACGGGCCCGGGTACGTAGAAATTATTCCTTGTGCACCATAGACTGGTGGCAAACTTCAACATACAGCTCTTCAAAAAGTCTGGCAGTTCAGTACGCCACGTTATGATATTGGTAACGCAATTTCAATTTCAATGTATTCTTATACGACAACCTCCTTCCAACCTGCTTCCAATATTTCGTTTAAATAAGCGGCAACACCACGACCTCGGAATCATTTGAATAAAACAATTTGTTGTGAAACAACKTTGCTGCAAATCCTTTATAATCTTTATCAACAAGCAACTGTCACGCAATAATGCCCTTAAACCTCAGACCAGGAACAACGCAGGCTCCAATAATAGTGTCGGTAGTCCGCTGGCGATTAATGTTCCAGAAGATAGWGTAGTGAGTAGGCACAAATGGACATTGGTGTGTTGATATACGACGGAAAGTTACTTTAAGTTTTTTTGTTTGTTTTTCAAATTCGTTAAAACATTCTATGAGCTAAGAAGGGGCTAAATCTATTTTAGCTTTTTTTTTTTAATTTTACTCTTTAATGGTCACAAGATCAGTTGGAAAGATATCTTTTCCAACTATATAGGTGTGTGTGTGTGGGAGGGGGGGGAGCTGTATAACTGACAATCGAATTGAAGATAAAAAACTCCCAATAGAACACCAGATTATCTCTAACGCGAGAAGTGATATCTGTCACAACTAAAAATACGATATAGAAATGAAAGAAAGTTATAGTGCTTAGAAGGAGGCAATTCCGGGAGAAGTCCCTTAGGAATAAATTCGGAAAAATTAATTTCCGATTCACAACTAAAAATAGCCTGTTACTTCACACGTGAAAATGACATGTTTCCATGGATACTTCGTACAAATTGTTTTGTCTCTCTAGTCTTACAGAAATGCATTTAAATATAAATTGCTTTGTTTACTTGTGAGTTTTCATGAAATCGAAGWTAAAATTCGTATGTCTGCGCGCACCATGATCCTCTATGTAACACCTCACTAGAAATCTTGCTCAGAACAAGCCAGACATTTCAGAGCCCCTGGCATAAAGTATAAGTATAGCATTAAAGATCAATCCTCTCCAATTCAACAAACTAATACACAAAGAAAGGTAACTAGAGAGAACTCAATATCATTTTTATGCTTCTGGMCAGAATAGGTGTATTCTAGGAARCTCTTCTGCAGTAACTAGACAGCGSTCTTGTSAACTAATYTCACTTTTACTTTGTTTCTATYGGATGATTACATCTTCACTTTTTCTGATTTTATCTAACGGATTTAAGGTTCTCACTTTTCTTGTGAAAGTATTTTTAGATTTATAAAATTAAGAGTTTTGACTGGATTCAAATCCAATTTACTTTATTTGCATCCTATTAACTGTGTTTATCATCTCACTATAGACAAATGAGTTCAACAAAAGAGAATCCTAGAACTAAGAAACTTTTTTTACCCTTATTGCAAAAAAAGGAAATCAAATGTGTTGGCTTCTAGAAATTCTTCAAAATGTATATCTGTGAACTTCCACTTTTCGCACTCCACATGAAATAATTATTGTTAAAGTTAAAAATCCATGATGCATAATTAAAGAAGCGTGTGTAACTTAGTGATAGTATAGAGGTTCTCGTATATTTTTCGTTAGGTAAATGATTCTCAGATAAAGCCTCTTTATAGGTCACTCTTCAACTTAACAAACAAAGCATGTATTYTGTCATATCTGCTAATGGATGGTTTATGCAACTACCTTCTCGTTTTTATTGGGAAGTTCCGGTTCCAGTTGTTTACTCTCTAAAATACTCATTTATGGCAATTATTTAAAATTACGAGATCAAAAATCCTACCTGCACTCTTAGATGAWGAAAATCTCTGAGCGTGTTTCGCAACAGCAGCAGCAGCTCTGAAATTCTGCAGTGGCTTTCTTTTCGCGTTCATAGCTCACGACACAAGAAAGGAAGTCTCAAAAGACTGAACCATTATGAATATTCAGAGATCACGCAATTTCAAAGGTTATTAAAATACCGTTGACGATGTATCGTTTCTCCAGATACCACATAACAACAGCAGGGTAACTGCATTGATAACGGGATTCATCTGTAGTGATGGGTAATTAAAACGAATTTGAATACGACTTCAATTTTCGCCATGGACAGTAGTTTTGTAGCTTAGCATACTTAACAAAGTGTTTTCAAAATTAAAAAAATATTCATGCAACCAGTCAAATCTTTTAAAACAATATTTTTTTCAATTTCGTATGCAGTTTGAGATTTAATTTAATATCTTTCGGCTTTCGATTGTACAAAAAAATTGATTTGGATATTTACATATAAAAAAAGAAAAGAATAAATGTCAGACTTGTTCTTTAGAGAAGTGTTAATAGGAAATAAAAAGAGTTTGGCATACGAAGTGTCTTTTGAATGAGTTCAAGCAAAGCGGTGTTGTCGGAGAACAAAAAGAATTGCTTGAGAAATCACGTCCATGGCATGTGAGTCCAATTCATCTACTTAAGCATTAGAAGATATTTTCCGTATTTCCATTCTCTGCAGGATTGTTGGGAAAACTGCACGAGAAAACTGGTTTTGAATCACGAGCTGAAAGCGAGCAAATTCTTTTAATATCGTCAAATCAAGCAATCGACCAATCAAAATACATTATGCATTTCTAAGCCTGGCAAGTTTGAGACCGAGAGGAAATAGTTTTCTTTTTATCAAAACTTCGACTTCATTCTACAATGCGTCAACTCAAAGACCATAACAAACGCTGATCAAGTCTAAAAATATTTTTAAAAAAGGGAATTTCAGAGTTCAGTTACATGACATGAAAAAGTCAAAAATTGTGAGCAATTGTGTTTGSCTGCCGATTTTGCTTTATGGATACTGATAGAGCGCATCACAGAAAGGATTTAGCTTGGACAATTAAGTTTTGAGGACCGTGTGACCATCAGTTATATATGGACAGTTTCTCGTACATTTTGGCTAGTTTTTCATAGCTTCTGATATCAAAAACCCCTACAGGGTGGTTCTCCGGCTGTTGTTTGGATCTGTTTCAAAGTTAAAACTTTATTTTGTTAAGCTTCTTTTGACCCTCACGGCCCCTTCTGCAACAATACAGGGTGGTAGTAAGGCATGTAGACTTAAAGAAAAGAGCGCTTGGTTTGATTTTCAGGAGGAGCCGACGATGTCTGTTCTCCTCAAATAACTGTTCTCTTTTCCTGGGAAAGGAATTTCGCTTATCTTTGTTTAAAATAATTTTGTCCCCGGCAAAATGGCCAAAAACGGCTCACGTTATTACAATTTTTTGGGTGCTAAGGAATTTATATTCCTGGCAAACGTTTTTATGGTCAAAACGGCTTATTTCTTTTAATTACGAATTTTTTGTTTCCTGGAAAAAATTCTTAGAAAGYATTCCTTGCCTGGAGAGTTCTTTTTTTCCTGAATTTCTCGATGGCAGCCGAGTTGTGACTTACAGCTTGGACATAAGTAGAGGTATATTTCTCCTAGGAACCCGTCGGCTTCTCCTAGATTTTAGATTCAAGAGATCTATCTTGTTTTTCCAGGGCAGGTTTTTGGGTAGTAGTGTCGTTTCCCTCACGCCTTTTACCTTAACTGTTTGTTTTTAGTTAGCGTCTAGCATCTGGATAGAAAGAAAAAAGACTGGGTTTTTGCAAATCTTGAAACCTCTATTCAGTGGGGATCCGTTGAGAAGCCTTTCAATAGAATAGAGTAACGGAAACCCAAAAGTGCGGAACGGCTGTAATTTTCTCCGTCTTTGCTACGGGCCTCTGCATAAAATTTTCTTAGGGACACGTCCCGGGTGGGTACTCGACCCGTTTTGGATAGGTACGTGCCGCCAGCGGTCTAAATCACTGACCCTGTTTAAGACACTAAAAAGTAAAAATCCATACCCTGCTCAAGACAAATCGGAAAAATAAAGAATAGCTATCTACGCCGCAACCCTCAAAACTGCAACTATTCTGACATCCATCAAAGACAATAAGAAGTTTTTGATAACATGTTAAGATCCTGGTACAGTGAAACGGTATTTCTACGGTATTTCTTATGAAAATATTACCCTGTCCAAGACACACAAAAAAATTATCTCGGTCTTTTATCTAAATTGTAAAGCCTGTTTAAGACAATTTAGGGTGAAATGTATACCCTGTATAAGACAGCAAGGACAAAAACCATACCCTGGCCAGCGGCACGTCCCCGTATAGCAAATATATGGGATCCCCCCCCCCCCCCCCCCCCGGCGGGACACGTCGAGATCACTTGCATCCATGCATTTCCTCGAGTTTTGTTTCAATAGGGAACTTCAGATTCGACAACGAGTACAAGGTTGAGTACGACTACGAGTTTCCAAACTCTCAATCATGAAACTTAAACTTGTGTAAATGCCTCAACGACTTGCAAGCAGCAGTCGTACGCAGCCTACGACTCATTGTCATAGGATTCGGAACCACGACTCTCACAATACTACACAACTTGTCGTCGGAAAACGTTTTGCTATAAGTTGCACACGACAATTGACTGTGTGAATGCACATTATGAGGTTTCGGCATTTTATAAGTAGAGTTKATTTTCACAATATATCTACATATAGATGAAAAAATATCTTTTTTTTGACAGTGAAAAGGTTYACTATGAGACAAAAAGTGCTCCGCAACTGGATGYACAAGACCTGATACATTTCCAGATATGAARAACGACTCAATATCAATAAAGTATTAGAAATAGAAAAATAACTTCGATATACTCTATCTAAAACATTTTTAATGTTATATGAAGACATATGTTTCGAGGTGCCAGACCTCATCCTCAGTGCGGCTACTTTACAACAAATGCAAAATGATTTTCGTTGATAGAAGAATGATATTATACATATTTAGGTTGTTTGAATGTAGGATCTAGACTAGATAGTGAGACTTAAATTAACATGATAGAATTGTAGGTTAAAGTCTGGCATTTGCAAAAGTCTATCATGTTAATTTTTTTTCGCAAGTCCGCTATAGACCCCTTGCATGTGACGTCAAAGCAGCTTCATCTGGAGGACAAAACAAAAGATTTTTATCCTCTTGGGAACTAGAATCTATTGTTTTGTCCTCCAGTTGTAGCTGCATTCCCATGAACTGCAAGGGGTCTATTAATGTGTACGTTTCAAACGAATATCTTCCTTAAGAATATCCAAGGACGAATCAGTTATGATCATTGAAGTTAATAACGGTTTGAGTAAACAATAGACCGTTCGAATAGTAACAACTCAAATGTTTCCGTARCATCTCAGTTTGCCAAGCGTATGGTAACCTTGTTCATCAGCTTCATCAGTATCACCAAACCTCAGTTGTATAACAGGGAGCTTTGATTTCTCTGTAAGAAAACCACTGTCACTTCTCCATCCTTTGCCTCCATTGTAACAATTGCAGCCTTTGGCTTTGTTCTGGCAGGTGTTGGTCATTCCACAGGCACATTTTCTACTACCCGGCGTCGCTCCTCCCCAGTAGTTTTCACGTTTACCCTCACGTGAWACCCACCAACCGCTGCCCTCAAGGAATTGTATGTCATTGTTGCACTCAAATTTGATAAATTGTTCACATTTAGCTGATATATTGGTCAATTTTGCCAATTGKGAAATTGGCACACTGTAGTTGATGYTTCTAATGTAGGACCCTGCAGGGCCATAGCCATCAACAAGAGTTCTAAACTCGCTATCGTGACTGACAACTGTTACACCCACTCCTCCCTTGTCAGTCATATCACAGTATACCATGAATGGGGCTTTTCCTGATTGGCCATCAGGATCAATGACATAATGACCTGATAATGTTAATGGTGACTTTCTTTTTAAATCACTACAAGAATTCGGATGGATGCCTGTGAAAGAAATATCATGAGTTCATTTTTCTATTTCTAAAGCAATTTCTGTCCAAATGTCTATGTTCAAACAATAAATTTTCTGTTTTGTTTGTTTGTTTGTTTGTTTGAAACTTAACGTATACGTAAAGGATGTTCCATACACCTTTACCATAATGGCTGCAATTGTGTTTTTTTCAAAATAAAATAGAGATAAATATTTTGTCACTGTAACATCAAAGAGCTTTCAGAAATAAACGTTTTTGGAACGTTTTAGATCTCTGGACAAAATAGGAAAAAATTCATGGTGAAATGAAAATACAAAGAAATGTATGTAATTTTCCACCAATGGCTGTCTGTCTATTTGTTTCTAAATATGAAATATGTGAAAACTTTGTCACTGCCATGTGAATGAACTACCAGAAATAAACATTTTTGGGAACTTTTACAGCCCTGGATTAAATGAGAACAAAGTTATGGCCAAATGAAAATGCATGAAATGTATGTAATTTTTCGCCAAGGCCTTTATAGCCTCGTTCTGGTGTTATGATATCTTTTAAATCCTTATAACTTCACCAAAATTTAATATTTTCATTTCAAACTTTTATATGTTGTTATTAGCACAGGTTCCTGTCAGCCGTATAGTTTGCTTTGACTAAAATTCTATGATTTTAAAGATTTATGTTAATTAGATGGCGGCCATTATGGTAAAGGTGTATGAACAACAAATACGAATGGAACACTTTCCAATTGTCAAAGAATGTAATTGGAAAATAACCTTGTCACAGAATTGTTTAGATACCGCAGGGCCATAGGCAGCCCACCCCTTAGATACTTAGTTTATAAAATTAGTTTCTGTTCTTTTATTGTATTTTGTTAATATAAAATATATTCATTCGTAATTGCAAAAAATAATAAACACATTAATATCGAAAATARACGAAAAAATTGCAAGAGATCGCTKTATTCATKTACGACGTATTACCACCACAGGAGTAATCAGCATTCTGTTAAGAGCGATCGCCGATATTTAAAATAAAAGCGTAATTCGTTCCTTTCTCTCTCTCTCTCTCTCTCTCTCTTTAGATTCATGACTGAGTATTTTCTACGTGTTCTCGCTATCGAATTTTTCGAATAATACAACTCTTCTTTTGAATAATTAACGCTTATCAGACGATCTATCCTCAATTAAATCACGCATTTTCAGCGAAATTAACAAGTTTGAATTTTTAATTTGTTGACTTTTTGTGCTTTGAAAACTCAAAACGTAGCAAATACCCAAATCGAGCGACATCGACCGTTTTTTTCGCAAAATTAAAAATCTTTTGGTGCATTCGAAGGTCATCTGGAAGTCTTATTTTGCGGTAAAACCCTTCTGAGTTCCATAATATTTAAAGTTTCTCCACGAGCTCAATTTTATCAAAAAGTGAGTAGTTAGGTTAGTAGGTTACAAGTACTTGAAATTTTGATATCTGAGCGGTTGTTGAAAAGGTTTTTTGTAAATATCTCGCTTGCATTTAACTGCAAGGTGCTTATTTTCACAGAGCATACGACGCTTGATAATTGAATTGCTGTTATGCCGCTTCACTGCGGTTTTATAGAATTTTATCAGATTAATCGACAACATTGGAAATGTAGCAAATACCCTTTTTAGGTAGAAAATACCCACTTTTCCAAAATTTTAAAACAATTTTGCTTGAAAAACGCCAGAAATGCAACATTTATCATTTTAATTTCCATGAATGCTAACCGCACAGTAAGTCAAATCTTGAGAAGCACTTATAACATTTTTGGGCGAAGATTTAATTGATTAAAAACAAAAATAACATGAAATTGAAATCCCTCAATGTCTGTATGAACACAACGTCCTGGA